AAGTCCTGGGTAGAGGTCAGGCTCATTCCAGCAGCCTTTTCTGCAGACCTGATTGATGGTTGCTGTCTCTTCGTGAATATCTTGGTTGCAGAACTGAACCTTGCAGTGACAGAGTTGCACAGAAAAGAATTATTGCAGTGTAGAAGTTATTTGGCGTTCCTGTGGAGGGTTGTATTTGCTGCTATGGTGAAGGAAGTATTTGATTAGTACATATGCCTCCATGTTTGTAGCAATGGGCTTGTTAATGTTTAAGACTCAGTAAAGAACTACATTTTTGGTAACTTCAACCGTTGATCACATGTAACTTAAAAGACTAATATTCCTCTGAAAAAGACTTACCTAAAATAAAGAATTGCACTAATTTGCCTCTGAAATAGAAAAAAACACACACATCTGTACATTAGCGACATTTACCTGAATTTGTCACTTGAATTGCAGTGCAGCAGTATCTGTGGGGCTGCTCAGGTAGGTCAGTGTGTGTCAAAGAATGAGATCTTTTACTACTAACCTGAACTAATGCACGCAAGTGAAATACTGTTTGTATTCAATAAGTGTCGTGTTAAAAAATAACAAAATAAAACAAAAAATCTAATATGGATCAGTTGTATTTTTGGGTTTTTCCTGTCAAATTGGCATGTGTTTTTATTGTTCAGAAATATAAAAAAATATGTGTGTAACACAGACAATGCCGGTGTTTGTGCATGGTTTTTTGTTGCCAAATCATTGCAAACCTTCCATAAAAATAACAATAAAAAGAAATATAAAAAAATATTTTTGTGTGTAACACAGACAATGCCGGTGTGTGTGCATGGTTTGCATTAGCAATTTGTTGCCAAATCATTGCAAACCTTCCAGTGCAAGTGCATAATATTTTTTTCAGGTTATAAAAAGTTTTAATAATATATTTTATCAAAATAACTAAGTCAAATTTCTATTTGTCTGTCTCTTTTCCAGGGAGAACCTGTACTCAGTTACTGGTGCTAAACCCAGACCGATCAGCTCGACTTATCAAAGAGATCTTAACGACAGCCTGGCCTACGAGAGACTTCGTTGTCCAATGGGAACCTGGGAACAGAGAGCTGAAGCATCCTACCGTTTCCTGGCTGAAGAACATCTGGAAGCATCTGTATATAAACTTTGCCGGGGACCTAAGTATATTTGAAGACATGCCTTTAATCCCGAGCGTACCACTGGAGGAAAACATGGAGAAAGTGAATCTTCTACGCCTCAAAACTCCCTCCCCCATAATTCACGTGGACCAGAAAGAGGCACAACATTCCGAGAACCTCACTGACATAATGCAAAGGCTTGGAGCAGTAGTGATCAAAAAGTTTGACCCGTGTTTGCTGCATCCTCGGCTGAAGAATTACATTCAGCCATCTTCTCCGGCTTCGCTTCTGCAAATCATGGACAGACTGGCAACACAGCGGCTGTCCAGCCTGGTCTCAGCTTTCTCAGCTAAAGAGAAGGTTGCACTCCGACACTTTCTTGCAGGATTGTCAGACGTCACAGAGAAGGAAAAACATACTTTGCTTGAACTTTCTATCTTTGAGAAAGTTGGCATCATCTCTGAAGGGACCCCGATGTTTACTTCACTTCGAGGAGCAAGGGCCTTACACCATAGAGCCAAGTACCCACCGAATGTAAAATTATCCATCAATCTTGTGAGTTGCTGTGACGAGGAGTCAATTCGTCTCATCAAAATGCTCAACGTGGAACAAGTGAAAACCACTGAGTGTCTGAAATTCATCATTAAGGATGTTGAGCGAGGGTTCTACGCAACAGATGATGTAACAAAAATCATGCTGTGGGTTCTTAAAAATCTGACCTTTCTAAAGAATGAGAATTCCTCTGTGGTTGGAAGTCTTTCTGCAGTCAAATTTGTTCAAATGCCAAGTGGAAATATAGTCAAGGCCTCAGATCTGTTCGACCCAGAGTTGGAAATTCTGCAGAATCTCTTTTACATGGAAGATGAAACAAGATTCCCTACAAGCACATTCACGTCTTCTCCTGATGTCCTTTATTCCCTCCGACAACTGGGACTAAGAAATGAGGTACAGCTCAGTGAAAGTGATGTACTTTTGGTAGCAAAAAAGATACAGGAGTTACAGAGGAGCAATGAACCTGATTGGGATCATATAATCAAAAAGGCAAAAACGTTGCTGCAGATACTAAACAGACAGACAAAGCTGATCAAATCAAGCGATGCTCAAACGTCACTACTCAAGCTTAAATGGGTTCCTGTCTGCAAAGAACGACCGCCTACTTACCCTAAAACCCTGGCCTGGGTTGGAGATACGCTGAACATATGCTCACTGTCTGAGATGTGTGACATCTCCCACGCGGTGCTTGTGGGATCCTCAGTGCCACTGGTTGAGCATACGTCTGCAGGTATGAAAAAGGCACTGAAAATAACCGTAGAGCCAAAGGTCAGTCAGGTTTTGCAACAGTTGAGAGCAGTGAATGACTGGCATAAATCTCAAGCTTTCACCACAGAGGACTGGTACCAGTTTCAGCAGATCTTGTTTGAAATATACGGCTTCATGCAGGCCCATCTTGAGGAAGCAAGAGAAGCAATGAAATCACTTCCCTTTGACTGGGTGTGGACGGGAAAGACGTTTGCATCACCAGGCCACACCGTCGTGAAACCCCTCCCTAACCTGGATTTACAGCCGTATCTGTACTCCCTGCCAAAGACAATCCGAAAGTTCCACAAGCTTTTCAAACTGTGTGGTTCAGTGGAAGAGGTCACTCCCGGTCATGTGCTCGAAGTCATCGGCACCGTTCAACAAAGATGTGAGGGAGAAATCACCACGGAAGAAAGCAAACGGGACATTTTGCTTTTGATCAATATTCTGAGATGGTTGTACAACAATCACATCAGCGTGGACACTAACATGCACGTGCCAATCCTGTGTTACAAGGATCCAAACAAGTTAGCAATGAAGCCCATACACGAGTGCACCTACTGTGACATCAAAGTGGACGACTTGAACGACTTACTGGAAGACGCATCGGAGCCCATTGTATTAGTTCACGACGACATCCCCATGAAAACTGCAGAATGGCTGAAGGTCCCGTGTTTGAGCACACGGCTGCTGAATCCTGAGAATCTGGGCTTTGAACAGTCAGGTCAACGAGAACCACTGACCGTAAGAATAAAGAACATCTTGGAGGAGTACCCATCTGTTGCAGACATTTTTAAAGAACTCCTACAGAATGCTGACGATGCAAGTGCGACAGAGTGCAGCTTTCTCATTGATATGAGAAAAAATACTGACATCAGAGAGAATCTTCTGGATCCTGGCATGATCGCCTGCCATGGGCCGGCCCTCTGGTCCTTTAACAATTCCGTGTTTTCCGACACAGACTTCCTCAATATCACGAGACTGGGAGGATCAGTAAAGAGATGTGAAGCAGACAAAGTCGGCAAGTTTGGCCTGGGCTTCAACTCCGTTTATCACATCACAGACATCCCCATTATCATGAGCAGAGAGTTCATGATCATGTTTGATCCGAACATCAACCACATTGGCAAGCACATCAGAGACAGGTCTAATCCTGGGATTAAAATCAACTGGAGCAAGCAACAGAAACGGTTGAGAAAATTCCCCAACCAGTTCAAACCCTTTATCAACATATTCAACTGCCAACTTCCTCTGGCTCAGGATTCCCCGTACAAATACAACGGTACTCTGTTTCGACTTCCATTTAGGACAGAGCAAGAAGCATCAGCCAGTGAAATCAGCTCCCTCTACTACAACACCACAGACATCTACTCCCTCGTTGATGAGTTCAGCATCTGCGGTCACCGATTCATTCTGTTCACGCAGCACGTTGGAAGTATGGTGTTGAAGTATCTGAAATGCGAAGAACCAAACCCAGCAGGAGCACAAGATGTTGTAATCGTCAACAAAAGCGTGTGGTCGTCTAAAGCTTCATACGGACCTTTAAGTATCCTGAAGGCTGCAGCAAAGGTCATAAAGAAAGTAGCCAGCACCAACAAAGTACCTGCTGATATTCCAAAGTCTGGTTGCATCATACGTGTTGTCGTGGAAGAGTTTCACAATGTGTTCAAACGCATCGTTGATCTTCACTCGCCGTTGTTCCGGGGTTCTGAGGACGATCCTAACCAGTACTTCGAGATGGCGGCTAAAGGAGTTCAGACAAGAAGACTCACTGATGAAATGCCCCAGAAGGCAGTTGAGGTCACCAACTGGCTCATCTGCTCGTGCATGGATGTTACAGAAGCCCTAAAGTTTTCCCTGAATGATAGTGGGAAAAGACTTGGACTGGTGCCCTGTGGAGGGGTGGCTGTTCTGCTTTCAGAGGAAGAGAACCGCAAATGGACGGTGAAGACTAATGCTACCCCCATTGGGGAAGTGTTTTGTTACCTGCCGCTCAGAATCAAGACAGGTCTGCCAGTCCACATCAATGGCTGCTTTGCCGTGACTTCCAATCGCAAAGAAATCTGGAAGACCGACACCAAAGGGCAGTGGAACTCGGTGTTCATGAGACATGTCATTGTCCAGGCCTACATGGCAGCACTGACGATGCTGCGTCTACTGGCTGAAAGTGAAGAGCTGCTTAACTACAGCTATTACGCAGCTTGGCCAGATCCAAACCAGGTGCATGATGACTTCACATTGATCTGCCAAGGTGTCTACCAAGAAATAGTCAAAGGTGGGGAGGGTGAGCAGGCTAAGGTTTTCTCGGATGGAAAAATGTGGGTGTCGATCAAATACGTCCGATTTCTTGACGACGCCTTACTCTGCAGGACAGACATTGGTCCTTCTGCATTCAAGATATTCCTGAAATATCTC